TTTTTGTAACATATTTGAGTTCATAATTTGCAGCAGATCCTACTTTAAATAATATAATATTATTTGATAGCGTAAAACATTGTTTTGATAGTTTTTTGGACAAAAAAGTGAACCCTGTCGTACACCTTTGGAAGGCATCACTAAATAGTTCATAGCACAGGCCCTGGGGACCTTTTTCATTTTTTAAAAATATCTCATGGGTCGTGTCTTAGGGAGTTACAAATATAACCCAGTAATGGTTAAATTGCTTTGTGGGCAAAATTCTTTTGTTCCTGTAACAGGTCCTTTGACATATAATGCCATATTATGGTATGGGGTTGTCCGTCCGGTGTAAACTTTTGGCCGAACGTCGAGGTGAATATTGTTCAGACCAGGTCTGTAAATCAGGGATAGACCGAAACTGAAGTCCACAATTGTTTTATTATATGACATTTTACAATAAGATTAATAATTGTTCATGTCATAAACAAATGGATGGCATCCATGGACCATTTTGGAATCACAGAGTGAAGGACTTCAAATACAAAAGAACATACACAAAAATTGAATTTCAGATTCAATTCATGTGATATTTAATTTCAAGTAAATATTATTTGAACAATCGACATCATCAATATTAACATAGTTGAGAATTTGATGAGATAATTCATATGTAGTTGAATTCAGTAGTGTGATTGGTAACAGATTTACAGACTGGCTGGGAAATTCCCTCGGCCTATTTTTAGTAACAGTCTGTAACACTTGTCTATGTATCTATAGGTCGAGGTCTGAAACACTTTTCTATTTATAGAACGAGGTCTGTAACATATTTACAGACCTCGTCACGTGACGTTGCTCATCCAGTCATGCAGGGCTTAGAATTAGCACCAGTCATATAATAACACTATATACATATGTAGCATTTGAAGGGTTATATTGTTCCGCCCCGCGGTACTCTTGTTTATTCTACCTTCAATACTGAAAATAATTCAACAAAACTGAAATTTTTGGACGTAACGTATAATGCATCTCACATTTTGATGCTGTGCATTTGTAATTCCTGAATACATGTACTAACATTGGTGCAGTTTTGGAGTGGGAGTTGATGGGTCACAAGGTTAATCCCTTTAGTTTTCAGTAATTCTATAGTTACTGTAGTTATCAGTAAATATGATATCACCAAAAGGGGCCGCAGTGGCCAAGTGGTTGAAGCGTCTGACATTCTGCTTAACCACTAGCCCTCCACCACTGGGTCACGGGTTTGAGACCTTTGTGGAGCAGTCACCAGGTACTGGCCATAGGTCAGTGGTTTTTCTCTGGAAACTCCGGCTTTTTCCATCACCAAAACCTGGCATGTCCTTAATTGACCATAGCTGTTAATTAAGGAAATAAAACACAAACCAACCAAGACATCACTAAATCTTTAAAATTAAATATCATTATCACAATATAATCAAGTATTATATTAGTCCGAATTATTCTGACGTTTTATCAACTTTTTTCATATCGGTCTGTCGTCGATTAAATTGACGACAGACCGATATGAAAAAAGTCGATAAAACGTCAGAATAATTCGGACTAGTATTATATGTTCTGAATAAAAAATAAACATTATATTCGACCATTGAGAAGCCCTAGCTGTTACATGTAATGGTACTTCCAAGTACAGAAAAACCTCCTTGCTATAGTAAAAATATATTATCTTTAGTTATAACTGTCACATGGCAAGATACAGTAGTTCGTAACAGGAAAAATTATCGGCATTATCTTAACATAAGTTATAAAAAAAATGTATCCTTGGGATCATCTGAAAGCTCAGCTACATTTTCGAAAGCTTGCAAAATAACTTTTCAATTAGTGTTTGTGTTCAAATCAAACTTAACATTTAAAATTCATGAATAGAATCACAATACCTACAGTAACTGTTGTTTGAGTTTTAATTAATTACACATTTTAAAACCTAGGACCTCAAAATGCACCCAAATGAGATAGAACGATGTGTTCCTCATTCTATCGCTCAATCAGTCCTTTATCAAAATTGTGATTTTTTTTTCAGGTTTTAAGTGGTGGAATTACCAACAAGTTAGTTTGCTTCTACGAAGATGGAAAGTTTGGTGAAGACACCATCGTTATCAGAGTTTATGGACAAAAAACTGATTTGATCATTGACCGAGATTCGGAGAAGAAAAACATGGTTGTCCTATCAAAGAAAGACATCTGTCCACCATTGTATGCAATCTTCAACAACGCGCTGATGTATGGATTCGCTTCTGGAATGGTCCTGGATGAGAAGACGGTCAGGGACAGTCATATAGGACTGTGAGTATATTATACTACTGATGTTGATATAAATATTGGATTATGGTAATTACTGTGCTATTAACTCAATGTCCATTTGCAGCTGTCTGTTTATCCTATTCTCCTGATCAAGGAGTACATTCATTATGTTCTGTAGTCAAAGGTGGAGCTGTTCTTTGTATAATTATTATACACAACATTATGCTAAGATAGCCAAGATCACACACATTATAAGTTGGGTTGGAAATCAATAAAATTTATCTTATTTTTATTTTATGGACTGTAGTCATAGACCTAAAGTATGAACCAAACAAACTCCAAGCAACAAACAAGATTGAATTGTTTGTAAACTTTTGCTTTCTCACAAAACCTATTATCTCCCCTGTGGAATCATCTGGAGTATTTTCATCCTCAGGTTAATTACAAGAGCACTAGTTAAACTACAGTTGGCGAAATCCCCTGAGGAATCCAGTGGATCAAAGCCGAAGAGTGAACTGTTTGATAGACTTGATGATTGGCTGCAGAAAATGCCAGAAAATTTTGATGATCCAGTGAAACAAGAAAAGTAAGTTTCCTATATAGTTGACGGGAGTCACCTTAAATCAAATCTACTTTATTAACTAATTTGAACATGTGAGTGGATTAACTCAGCAGTGGTACAAAGTACCAGATTGAGTGTGTGTGGTGGTGCTTCGTCGTTCATCAGCATTTTGTTCATCATCTGTCATAGATCTAGCTATCAACTCTTGCAGTAAATAACATCTCCTCTAAAACTGCAGGACAGAATTCAACCAAATTTTGTTGGTAGCATCCTTAAGCCATGAAGATTAATATGTATAAAAATATTAATGAAGCTGCTTTTTTCGAGGGATGGGGTCAAAAGGGGTCAAATTGTGTTATCTATTTTACATGACATCTCCCAAACTTCGGAGTAGGTTTCAGCCGATTATAGTGAAAGCATCCTTTGTCTATGGGATCAATGTTAAAAAGAATAAACCAACACCATGACCCACCTGGGGACCGAGGAGTGGGTCAAAAGAGGCCACATTGGTAGGTAATATAATTAGATCTAAATGACAAACTGAAACTTCTGGACAGGTGCTCAATCATGATAATTTTCAAACTATTTCAAAACAGTATACAATAAATAGCTAAAAATTACTAAAGGTAAATTTTTCAATCGACCCAATCAAACTATGTACATGAATGTCAAGATTAGGTGACCTATTCTTCTTTCCTAACTTTGCTCAATTTTCAGAAGACTATACCGGATGAGTTGTTGTTTTGATTAAGAAAGTATGTATGTTTCCAAAAACAAAATTTTCATTTGCTTAGCAAACATTATGTAATTGTATCATCTAATTAGGGCCCCGCATTAAAGATGCAGGTGCCCTATAGTAAACAGGTTGTCCGTCCGTCTGTCCGTCCGTTTTTTTATTTTGCACAATATTGACAGAAATAAATGGAGTAATATGTTTTTAAAATTTTACATGATGATTTCCCATGCATCCTTAGTTTAGCTATGCATTTGGCAGCTGGACTTGTCAACGAAACCTTCATCATATTGTACATCAAATTCAAACTTCAAAGGTTCCCGTCAACCTTATAACTTCAAATTTTGTACATCATTCATTGACTCTGATTATGTGAAATATGATTAGGATATACATGTATGATCTGTTTCATACAATGGTACTACTTAGACTTGTACTATTTTAATCCTTTTACCACTGAACAGCATAATAGCTATGGAGCAAATTCTACATGGGATAGAAAATGAAAAAATAAAATGATCAAGGTTAACAGCAGGAAATATTTCTCTTGGGGAAATATTTTTAAAGAAAACATCTGATACATGTATATGTAAGTAAGAAGTAAAATGGCTTATGATATATGATTCTATGCTAGCTGGTATAATTTCCTGTTGATAACACAATGTTAGATATTTCATTGATTGACTACAAGCTGTCATGTTATTTACTCACGAAGATGTGTATAACACAGCTGGAACCACCGGCATTGAGTCTCTTACTGACGGAGTGTTTGTTAGCTTGAGAATAGAAACATTTTTTTCATTCTGTGAAAATATTTCTTTGAAAAGAGAGTGGAAGATTTAGCTGAGGATTTTTTATAGGTTTTGAAATTGCTTACCAGTGGCAAGTTGCACATTTTTATTCTTAAGGATCCTTGTCCCACTGTCCTGTGAGGCAACACACTAGAGAGTTCAACTTTTTCCATACCTACAGTAACCTCCCCTTAATTTCATCTTGAATATAAGTAGGTTGAAGTAGTGTTGTTCCGATAATCGATTATAATCGAAAGTCAATCGATTGTACAACCAACTCAAATTAATTGATTGCTAAATTTTGTAATTGATTTATCTGTATAAATGTTGCATGCTGTTTTCTGTTGATATCTGTCAGATTTACTCTTAGTCAAGTTCTAGTAGTATTGTAAAAACTAAAAGTGTAAAAACATAAAAGACTGTAAAATGGATATACCAATTAAGTCAGCCTTTGATTTTGCATGTCAAAATTATGCTGTAAATCCCAATTGTAAGTGGTACTATCAGAATTACATATATTTCAAATAGATTTACCAGAATTTGGATGTTATGATTATAATCGATAATCTTTCATTAAAAGTTTTCCAATAATCGATCATGATTTCCGCTTCCCATTCCCAACATGATGTTGAAGCTTGGCCGGGGAACTATACTGTTGAACAGTGAACAGGTAGCTCATTTTAAAGTGACACTACTTATAAATGATTGGAAGTCCAACCCCACCCCCACCCCCCCCCCCACCCGAACATTGTTTTAGAAGAGCTATCAAATGTTCCATAATATTTACATTGGATACCACTATTCCTCATGGCTCTCTCTATTTCACTCAAACTCAACCTTTTCTTTTTCTGATCTGATGAAATTTAGTATATACATGCCAGTCTGTACTATTTCATTTGAGGCACAATATACTACCTATTAACATGTATAGACGAGCACGCTGCACAAAATACCCACAAGAGGGTGTTGCAGTATGGATAGATAGAAAGATAGGTCCAGGATTTGAATCCAAGCCTGGTCCCATTGCATTTTTATTCTCAAATTAATATTACCAGGGTACTGTTGTTGATTATGTAATCTTTTTGAAAATGATTATTTATTTTTCGTCAGAGTTCTTTAAGGTGTAAAACATTTATTTTCAAAAATGGTTGATGGAAACTTATGTTTAATTTTCATGTAGGTAAAATAGTTTCCATTTCATTTCAAAGTTACAGTTTTGGACAGCGATAGAAAATCCTTAGGGTAGTGGCAATGAATGACCTTCGCCCATATTCAAGGTCACAGTGGTCAATATATGTTTAAATCTTTAAATGACTTGTTCTGAATAACCAAAAGGTCCAGGGTAATGATATTTTGCCAAAAGCATGCTGGGTTAGAAGACTATAAACTCTGTTCAACCTAATATCCTTGTTCGACATTCAAGGTCACAGGCGTCATATGTTTAAATCTTTTAATAGGTTCTTATGAATCAAACACTGATATTCTGCCTGTAGCTGTATTTTAGTCCACTTTTAAGATTACAAGTGTGAGATTAATACCAGGTGAGCGAACAGGCCCATTGGGCCTCTTGTTATATTAATGTATTCCCTAATACATGTATGCATACAAATGTACTTGCTAACTCTCCGTATTTAGGAGGGAGACTCCCGATTTTGGACCCTAAAATCTAATATTTTCAACCAGATAAAAATGTATGGTAGAGCCTACTAAAGTTTTCTAGGGGTGAAAGGGTTAATAATGTGTTTTTCTGTTAATATCCTTATTTAAGAAGTCCTAATTAATCAGTTATATTTACAGGGGGCATGTTTTTTAGGATGTATACAGTACTACTGTTTAAGTGTTATATTTACTATAGAACTGGCTTAATAGCCTGTTGTGGTTATATCATGTCTTACATATAGTTATAAGAGAGAGATATTCATTGCTGAACAGGATCCAAAGTCCAAAATAGGGTATCTAGTGCACAGCCGTTGATGTATGCAGTTTTACAATGCAGTATTATAGGTACAACTGATCGGATAAGACGATCTATTTATATTGGTAATAGCCAATCTAGATGACAATTAAAGTGAAGCCATGCATGTTACACTGACCAAGATTAACTTGTAGTCCGTAAAAACAAATTAAATTTTGTATGGATCCTTTGAATGACTTTTTGACAACACATTTTTTGAAAAAAGACATAATCTAAAATGAGACTTAAATAGCTTTTGTTGTTCACAGAACTAGGAAGGATTTAAGAATCACATACATACAATAATATAAATTCAAAATATTTAATTACTTAAATGTAAATTTAGCATGTCATTTTATTAAGATTGTTAGCTTTCTCAATCAATTCGTATTAAATACTTACCTTTAAATTTGTTTGCTTGTATATTAAGTGAATTGAACAGGGTTCACATACATGTAGGTCGCACAGGGTCAAAAAGGTCAAACAGGGTCAAACAGGGTCGCACAGGGTCATATTGGTCAAACAGAGTCATATATAGTCCACACATATTTGGTCACAGGTTTCACAGGGTCATTTAGATAACACAGGGTCATAAAGTGATATGGGGTCATAGGTCACAGGGCTAAAAATGTCAATAAGGACCAGAGGGTTATGAAATCTCACATAATCCTACCAAGCCACACAGAGTCCTACTGCATTAATTTGAGACACAGTAGCTGAGGAAGTCTAGTTGTAGGACGCCCTGCTCGTGACTGAAGGGTTGGAGGTTCGAGGCACGGAACTTTGTTGTATTCTTGAGCAAGATACTTTACTCTGCTTGTTCCAGTCTACTCAGGTGTGAATGAGTACGTTACATGGTTTGGTATACATATATAGTTCTAGAATTGTTGAATGCTAGCTGTGAGCGCTTGAATGGCAGCACCGGCTGAATGCTCCCTATGGAGTTGAGAAAGGTATTGGCTCGTCGCAAAGGCCCTATAACAACAGATAATAATTTGTGAACTGCTTTGAGATGATTGACCTACAAACTAGGTTGTGATAAAGTGATATATATATAAGAACCTTGAAATATTAATTATTTTTATTAACACATATAGGGTATTACGAGGCTACACAGCTGTGTCACACTGGGTCAAGTAAGTTCATACATTAAGGTGAAATTTCAGTTTATCAATTTTATTAACATGGTGTCCATTTCAGATTTTCTAAGCATATAAAGCCCCGGTCAGTACTGGAGAGTGAATTAGCCACTCTGAAGGAGCACCTGGGAGCCATGGAGTGTCCTATTGTTTATGCACACAATGACCTTCTGGTCGGAAATATCATATACAACGAAAAATCAGGTACTACACTTTCACATTTCAATGTTGTATTGTGTTGCTCATAGGTATTTCTGCTGGAATTAGCTATTCAATGAAGTGTTTTACGATATTTCTTTTTGTCATTTTCAATAATGCACTCAAATAACATGTGGTTTGTGAATGCAACACTTAGAAATGTCCATGCCCTTTGTCAGTGTTCTTGTCCTGACAATGTTTTCCTGTACAATATCTCTTGATATCATACTATAATTTTCTTAAAAAATCAATATATGACTGCCAATAGCCGTCTTTTATTTTATACAGATACATTTCCAGGCAATTCATTTTGAAGAAATTATTGGATATTAATAAATCTTGCCTTTTATACAAACTACCTATACCCAAGTCTGTTACTCAGGTGATCATTGCTCGAATGAATTTGTGCATATTTAATTAATCTGCTGCACTCTGATTGGATAATGTCTCTTGAAACAACTTTTAGACTCGTAACAAAATCCTGTACTAACTACCCATGTCCATTGCCTAAGCTTGGTGTCTGACAAAAATTTATTCCCAAATATTTGATTGGACTTATGTGACCTTATCCAAAATACTACAAAGAAGAGTTTCACTCTCTTCTTCCATCGTAAGTAATTTGAAATCTATCAGCCTTTTACCCTAAGCTGGTTCACACAACATCTGCTTTTGTGGAATTTAATAATCATTTAGTTTCAGGTAATTTGTTAATTTAGATGTTTTTAGAGGCAGAGTTTTTTGAAATGATTGTTACAAATAGTCATTAATTATGTTCCTGATAATATACAGTACCAAACATGCTCACACAGCGTATCGGGGAAAACAATAGCACAGGATCTTCATACACATGACAATCGATCGTTCCTTTTTAAGATTTTCTGATTGCGTTTATATATATTATTATTAACAGACAAAGTGACCTTCATAGACCACGAGTATGGGATGTTCAACTACCAGCCGTTTGACATCGGAAATCACTTCTGTGAATTTGCAGGTTTTGTATTTTTTAATATACTTGACGACACTTTGCATATATTTCAGTTTTTTTAGCTGACCATCATCATATAGTGGGCTGTTCAAATCGCCCTTCGTCCATGGTCAGTTATTCGTCTGTCCTTAAAAAATTCCTGTTATTGCTATTTATCAAAGTCATGGTACTAGACATATGTTTCCTTAACTTTATATGCAGATTCCCTTGGTCCATAGTTTTATATATAAGATAAAGATTATTTGTAAGATATAGCTAACAGGCAGCCATCTTGGATTTTGATTGTTCAAGTTTGTTTTTGCTATTTCTCAAGAAGCACTGATCTTTCTCAAATTTTAAATGTAGGCTCCAGTAAATATGTCAGATGACAACCTCGCTTTAAAAGACACAGCAGAATGAAGGTTTGATTTGAAAATTACCACAAGGTGCATCTATAGTGTTTACACAACTCAATCCAACAGATAAATATAAAGGAGAAAAGATAAATCTTGCATAGAACCTATGAAGATGGAAGGCTCAAGTGAGCAACATTTTAGGTCTCTCTGGGATCACTTTTTTTTTTGTAAGTTATAAGTTTATTGCAGGCCAATTACATGATTTACATACAACTTACACACAGAAACAGTTAACTTGTTCATTGCATTTGTTAAGCGACATATTTCACAAACATTAATACATTTAGCACACCACACTCGCTCAAACAAATTAACTTCCAAATATTTAATGAAATTATATTTATAATAATACTTTAATTAACTAAACTCTGGGGGTATTGAGAGAAGCAACTAGACTCTGAAAATGTCTTCAGCCATGTTACAAAAGAACCATGATTCTTGTGAAATCATTGATATTTTTTCATTATCCCTGTTTGCATCTATAGCATAAAAGACTTTTATCTATAAATGGTTCTTGGTACTTGACACTGCAGGGTTAGATGAAGTGGATTACAACCTATACCCAGACAAGGAGTTCCAGATGGGATGGCTGAGAACCTATTTAAAGGAGTGGAACAAGGCGAACGGCAAATCAGCCGATATACTACAGGCAGAAGTAGAAACACTATATGTTTACGTCAATAAATGTGCCTTGGTAAGGCTTTTTTTGTGTAAAACAATGCCAGTGGATCACTGAAAAAGAAGTGGAATATAAAAAGTATAATGAGAGTCAAATTAATGATCTTCATATCGTAATCTGAGATCACTCATAATATACTAATTATACCTGCCAAATGTATTATTTATCCTGAAAGATGAGTCATTCCATTACTACAGAACCTGTCTAGACTGACTGCTCATTCACCCAGTACAACAGAACATGTCTAAACTGACTGCTCATTCATCCAATACAACAGAACCTGTCTAGACTGACTGCTCATTCACCCAGTATAACATAATCTGTCTAGACTGACTGCTCATTCACCCAGTACAACAGAGCCTGTCTAGACTGACTGCTCATTCACCCATTACAACAGAACCTGTCTAGACCGACTGCTCATTCACCCAGTACAACAGAACATGTCTAAACTGACTGCTCATTCACCCAGTACAACAGAACTTGTCTAGACTATATGCTCATTCACCCAGTACAACAGAACTTGTCTAGACTGAATGCTCATTCACCCAGTACAACAGAACTTGTCTAGACTGACTGCTCATTCACCCAGTATAACACAACCTGTCTAGACTGTATGCTCATTCACCCAGTACAACATAACCTGTCTAGACTGACTGCTCATTCACCCAGTACAACAGAACATCTCTAAACTGACTGCTCATTCATCCAATACAGTAAAATCAAATAATAACTCAAAACAATAAAGTGTCATGATAGACCAAACTGTGATAGTTGTCATATAGTTTTGTTCCCCTATGAAATATTCAATAGATTTAGAATAGATTTTTCTTATTTTGAAAATTTACCTAACTCATTCACCCCTGAAGTTTCATAATGAACTATTCCAACCTATGAATTGGAAGAGTTCAAATGTGTCTTCAGGGGTGAATGAGTTAAATTCAGGTTATTTATTGATATCAAAGTTTTACTTTCTACACAGACAATGTACAATTGTCATATTAAATGTGTCGCGACGTTTCAAGACCGACTGGTCCCTTTGTCAAGATATATGCCATAGCTTGTCAAAGGGACCAGTCGATCTTGAAACGTTGCGACACTTTTAATACGTACATTGTTTGTGTAGAAAGTAAAGTAAAACTTTGATATGAAATTATGAATTATGAATTTGATATATTTCCAAACTGATGAATCTTATTGAAGGTTATTTATTATATTGTTACTTTGTGTTGCAGACTGCTCATTTCTTCTGGGGAGTATGGGCCCTTATACAAGCCAAGTACTCCACCATTGACTTTGATTACCTTGAGTAAGTGGAATTAAAAAGATAGCTTCTCGGTTTTCAATAAGCTTGAAACCTGCTCAACTCATTCACCCCTGAAATTTCATAATGAACTATTCCAACCTTTGAATAGGAAGAGTTCAAATGTGTCTTAAGGGGTGAATGAGTTAATTATGGAAATTACATTTTATCGATGTAACGAGTTCCCAAATTGAAAGATTTTCCTGTGATATACTCTGAACTGAAGTAAATACGTTATTTCTGAATCAAGATACTGCCGTATTTTCAATAATTTGATTTAATGAATTAATATTTGGTTTTAATGTTTTATTGCTAACCAGCAGTTTCTGTTGTCATCTTTATATACTGATATTGAGCTCAAACATTTTTATTTTGTTTTACATTAATTACCTAATTGCTCAATGTAAATTTGTCCTTCTCGCACTATGTTTTTACTAGGTATGGTGTTATAAGATTTGGTGAATACTTCAGACGAAAAGAAGAATTTCTGTCTTTACAAGTACCTAGCAAATAAATTACCCTGAAGGTGAGAATTTGTCACGAATCAATGGTGATTTTATTGTGGCCAACTCGTACATATTTTACACCTTGATGTCATTGTTTACATTTTGCTGGTCATTTGTCCCATGAAGGTAACAGTCAGGACATATCATGCTAGTCATTGAAACGTCACACATAAACATTTCACTGGTTATGCTGTATGAACCTACTGTAACAATAATTGATACTTACCAACGCAAAGAAACTGTTTAGAAATATTTATCTGAATATGTTACAAAATATCGATTGGGCCAGTGGTTTCTATTTTACATATAGGAAGGCTGTATTCTGCCACCCTTGTGGCATGACCTTAAAGGCGGAAAGGGTTTAAATCATTACTAACGATGTGATAAACTCAATATATATTATTGGACACAACTGGGCCATATCATTTGGGAAACAAGCCAGTTTATAGAATAACTACTAATGTTAAAGAAGATTTACCCCAGGATAAAATAATTTGGCCGGTTACACAATAATCCGGTTTGGACAGAGTCCACTGTAGAATCCATTGGCAGAGGGGATTCAGTTAAAGGAGGAAATTTGTAGAAACCCAAATCTGAGGTTGTGAAAATGTAACTGTTATTACATTTTAATCTACAATGTCTAGAAAACCAACAGTTTATCTGATAGCTCATTTAGTTGATAAAAAAATATAACATTTTCTTTGTGTTTATAGCTATTGTTGGTGCGTTCTTCTGAAGAACTGAAAGGTATAGAATCTTTTTATTTGGCTGGTGGCTTCCTGGGATAGAGCCCGACTAAGTTAAAAAACGAAAATGACCTTGACCTACTTTCAAGGTCACAGGAGTCAGATATGTCTAACGCTTAGAACAACTTCTTCTGAAGAACTGGACGGTATAGAACCTTAATATTTGGCTAGTTATTTCCTGGGAAAGAGCCCAACAAAGATTGCGAAAGAAAATGACCTTGACTTACTTTCAAGGTAACAGCATTCAAATATGTCAAATGGTTCAAATTACTTCTTCTGAAGAATTAAAATTCCTAAAATTATAATATTTGGCTGGTGACTTCCTGGGATAGAGCTCACCAAAGTTTGCGAATGAAAATGACCTCAACAACATTTTAAAGGATTTGTTCTCAAGAACTAAAAAGAATGGATTCATAAGATTTGGCTGGTAGCATTTTGGAATAGAGCTAACCAATTTGAGAAGGAAAATGACATTAGCCTACTTACAATGTCACAGGGAAAAATATGTCAAGCAACTTCTGAAGAAGAATAAAAAAGCATAGAATCTTATTTTGCTGGTTGTTTCAACAGATGGAGCCAACAAAGTTTGCGAGGGAAATATTTTTAGTGCAATATAATATTTAATGAGAATATTTTGCTATGACTGCTTAAATATTCAGGTGAGCAATACAGGCCCTCTTGGGCCTCTTGTTTTAATTCATAAGAATAGTTTGGGGTTTTTTTTCAAATTTTTATGTACAATAGGAGTAAAGGACTATTTTGAACTCAGGGTGATCTTTCAAACAGTGAGTGCGACATGGTGCATGCAACCATTCAATAAATAGAATATGACGTCATTTCGTAAATTTTATCACATCCCGCATCATGCTGCAATCGTCAACCAGGATATATGACTCTATGTTGTAATTTCTTTATCACATCCCGCATCAATCGTCTACCAGAATAAATGACTTTATGTCGTAATTTATTTATCATATCACACATCAATTCTCAACCAGGATATATGACTTTATGTCGTAATTTATTTATCATATCTTACATCAATTGTCAACCAGGATATATGACTCTATGTTGTAATTTATTTATCACATCCCACAGCAATTGTCAACCAGGATAAATGACTATGTCGTGATTTATTTATCATATCACACATCAATTGTCAACCAGGATATATGACTTTATGTTGTACTTTATTTATCACATCCCACATCAATTGTCAACCAGGATATATATCTTTATGTCGTAATTTATTTATCACATTCCGCATTATATCTTCAACCAGAATAAATGACTTTATGTCGTAATTTATTTATCATATCACACATCAATTATCAACCAGGATATGATGTCACTGCGTAATATTCTATGACATCCCACATCAATCCTCGACCAATATGAGCTCTGTCAAACGCTCCAGCACAGTGTGTGATATTGAAGATACAATGTACTTTTCTTTTTATATTTAAGGTAGGCTTTCTTTGCTGACATCGGATGTGAATTTCTCTGTTTTGCAGAATAGCTTGATGGATTTGTTGAGAGGCTTTGGGACGGAATGCTGATGTAGTGCCTAAAGTGTTCAAAACGGACATTTGAAGGAGACATGACATTTTATAACAAGATATTCGTATTCACTGTATTTTCAAATCTATATTTTTATTTGACACAAAATTATTTTTATGAATTATATTGTGTATGGAGACAGGAACATTTTTAAAATTTTGTGCTTGGTGCAGGACTTGTTTTATATTTTAGACTCGTATTGAGGGTACACTCGCATAAGCCATCTTCTGGTGAAGGAAAGTGATATAAATGTCAAAACAGATTTTTGTTTTAAAATTGATATGATATTGCTTAGGGTAAGTCCAACATTCAGGTTGTGCTTACAATTATACTCAGGTTTTAGAATTACTTAAATTTTCCAAAGGGTACACTACAAATATATTTTAGTTAAAATACCAAAACCTATGGGACCAAGGCATACGGATGGAGAAAAACTAATGCTGAGCTCAAAATGATCCCATGCCAAGAAAATATCCGCTAATTGCTTATAAATATATATATATATGAAATTGTATAAAGAAAATATAAACATTTCAAAAACTATCTTCGAGAAATAATACCGTGGTTTATAATATTTACATATTTATAAAATGTTAATAGATTTATTGTTGCAATAAAATAATAAAAAAAAGTCTTATCTGTTATTTGCATCCTTTTTTCTGTTAGCAGCTGGTATCATTTACTTTCATACACTTAAAAAGATTTTAAAGTAAAGTTTATGATTTGAGATAACCTGTGTGATAGGGTATCACAATTTCAACGCTAAAACGATTATAATGGGCTTCCCAAAATGACCAATATCTATGAAAAAAGTAAGTATTTAAGATCGACCAACATATTCATGTCCGACACAATTGGAGCTCTACACTGAACGCCAAATCTGCATTTACCTGCAGCAATCTGACACCGTTCGATTCACAAACCTTCAAACCGAGGGTAAGACATTCTGGAAGCTCACACAAAGGTTTGAGATTCCTTGGGCATACCTTCCCTGGGTGATGATTTCCTATCAAGAATATCTTACAAATCAATGGATATCGGTTTCTGTCTCGCCACCACGAAGTGAAAGCGATACTAAGGTGCCGCTTTTCCGGCGGCGTTTAAGTTAGTTTCTCTGAAACCATATGGGCTACACCAACCAAACTTGACTTGTGCATTGATGGTCAAAGTGGGGCATAGGCGAGACATATAAATCCAAGTGGCTTGTTGTAATCTGTTTTCTCTGGAAAACTGATTGGGACGTCATCTTATTGTTCCTTTGAGTTATGACATCACGTCTGTCATATATTTTGTGACAGAAATTGTTCCCCTACCTTGAGGGTGTAATCGAGGACACTGTTACACGTTTAAGGCAGGGAATTATTTTCCCCATCCTGTTATTTCAGTCACATCTTCATCGAAAGTAGTTTCACATGTTGGTCAATAAGAAAAGCATTTGTATGCATATCGCTTTTCACTTATGACCTTACAATTGCAATTTAGTATATTGTATGATGTCATAGTTTAGCGTTTTCTATATTTTGCTCGAGAATATCCCCCTAAGGGATGACAAGTTAATATTTCCCATCTAAATGGGGTAGCACAGGGAATGTGTCTGGCCATGTCTCGGCTGATGAACATAACTTTATGACTTTCACAGTGTATATTAAAATTATCTCTGGTTGAAAACCGTGGTTAATTCATTCATTGAAAAGAATCAAATATAGCTCCTCTGGTCAGGGAAAGTGGGGTGTATCTACCGTTTATACAACGCTGAAAACTGGGTAGTCATCTGGGGGCTCAGGAATGCACCAGAATAACCTCTGTCTCTGATCCCGAAGAAACAGTTTAGTGTCAACCAAAGCGTCTACATGACGATATGAACAGCTATATCATCGTTACGGTTTAGATATTGTTTTATTGATAATGTGAGCTTTGTTCTCGTGGATGCATTTCTCGAATCGAGTGCACAAATCAATGTCGTTATATCTAACTACAGGAAGTAAGGGATGCGACTGCTAAGATCTTGGCATAACGATATTGATCCTGTATGCTAGATGGTTGTCTGACGAAGAGGTTATGAGTGCAAGCTATGTCGATAGAATCGTTATGAATGGAGATACCCTCGTTAAGTCCGAAAAGAAGCGTTATCTGAAATTAAACAATATCAAAGAGAGCTCACTTTGGGTATGGCGGCATGATGTTAAAAGCTTACTACAATGTAGAGGTCTGTGATGTCAGTTGAAGTGTAGCACATTGGGCATAAAAACAAACCAAGAAGTGAAACCGAAGACAAATCCATCGACAATATGAAGTTGGTGATAAGCCCTGGCAGAAGAAACGTGTTTTTTTAAATGAGCGATGAACATTATTTATTACACTGTACCTTCCAACTCTTTTACTATCTTTCTTGAAATGGACCATCCTCGATACTTCAAGGGTTACCTCACTTACGTTCTTGCACCCCTGGAACTTGTCATAGCAAAATCGAAGGCTCAGTATGGATGAGACAGGAGATACGTTTGATCTTCTGATGTGAATCAAAATAATCTCGCGGTTGTCTAATGGTAACATTGACTGGCTTTGAAGTCAGCTGGTGTCGCTCCACTGCAACCTTCAAAGGCCAGGAAAATATGAAGTTGTAGCTAGAAATGTACCACACAATCTGCAATGCACCAGCCGTCAAACTGAAGAGCTATAAAGATAAGCATTAATTTCACAGTAAAAAAAAACGGGAATCAGAAAATTATCTGTGTGAGGCAATCTTAGAGCAACACAAACACAACTTTACGCACAATATATTGGACTCGGTCCGCTCAGATGAAGTCTAACCTTAAAAGCCAGCTCACTTATTCCTGTTTTGGGTTATGGGGCCAATGTGGAAAAGAAGGGAAAGATATAGAAATTATCTCTAAATATACGGGAAAACATGTTCACATAAGATCCATCGATATTACAGCGATAATTGTGACCAAATGATAGCAACACACCAACATTTACCACGCGAGTGGTTTGGTTTTGGGTTTTTAGGGTTTAACGTCCTATCAACAGCTAAGGTAATTGAAAGACGTGCCTCCATGTGTAAAATGTATATCTGCATGTGCTCCGGAGACGGGATGTGTTGGTGTAGTTGCCTCCCTGTGATAGCACGGATCTGATGCCGACTTTATAGTGCTATCTTACTGAAATACCATGCCAAAGGCAACCAGCACAAGATTCCGCCCGGTCACAAAATACTGACAACGTGTTAACCTGTTGTTGCCGTTACCCTAAATACTAAGCAGGGAATAACACCTACAATTTTTAAGGACTTAAGTATGTCCCGGCCTAGCTATAGGGACAGAACCAAATGCCTACCCCACTTGGGCGAACGTTCAATATTAAAGCCAGAAGTGAGATGTTGCAAAGCAAAGAGATAGGAAATAAAAGGAAGTTAGAAAGAAATAGGGAGAAATAGAAAAATCCTAAATGTTGCAGATTCATTTTGGTCGCTTTTGTGTCCTCAAGTAGATTGCAAAAAAGCAAATCCCCATTTCTGCAGGCTGTTACTACATAAGTCGCCTCTTACGTTACTTGCCGTGGACAACAGATGGTGTATTCTTTCTGATGTCCGATCTGCAGGGGTGTCCGCAAGTGGTACGTTTTTGAGAACCACTTGCGGACACCCCGGCAGGTCGGGGATACTAAAGTTGTTGAGAACCTTAAAAATTCGTGTCACGAAAATAATCAAGCTCGAGCAGAAAAATCACAACCTTTGAGCCGCGGAGAACCACTACCAAACATTTGTGTAAGATCAAGAAAACTGACAAGATTACCGATGCTATAAACACGAGTTTGAAATTGTGTTTAGTGTGACTTTAGATACACAACTAGTAAGCTGGAAATAGTACAGTAATTTTAGTGTTGCCTGTATCTGAAACAGTGTAAAACTTGAACGCGTGTTTTTCTAGAGTGAAATAACTCGTACTAGAATACCGTATTCATTTCTTAAGGAGGGTTGTTGCCAATAGATAGCCAATATTAGCTTTGTGTTCCGTTGTTTTAGTTGATGCACTCAGAAACATTGAAACAACGCGTATGTACCATTCTCTTTTGATAATAAGCCTTTCACAGAACAGCTATTTGGCATAATAATCCATACCTGCATTGATGATTGTCAATTATAAATTATATTCGGAAGAAATATAAGAATGCTGTTCCTATTTCATAAGCCTTTTGAAAAAACGTACCCTACAGTAACTCTTTGTCTCTAAGAAAGGTTGAGACTTTACCCATGTCGACGTTGTTTTTGCAACAGGAATGTGTCCGGTTTTATTGTCATAATATCACTCAACAACCAATTCACCCGTAATTAACAATTTATTTGTTTTTCTTTCTTCATACGTTTGAACATTTCATACAAATTTTGATGACAATTTGAATAAATTTGCAAGTTTGATCTTCAAGCCTTTTTTGGAGCAACGGTGAGATGTATAGCTCTTCTTTTTCAAAATCCTCCAGATGACGAGCTTTTTACAGATAGGAATGTCATTTAGATTATACTTCCTGACAGAGCACTTTCGCATTGTGACCGGAAGTCGCTATGGCACATGCAACAGTTGGCAAATGATAGTTGCCCGAACATATCCGCGCACTGCATACACGTCGGCAACAACAGTTTAATATCGTTCATGGAGATATCCCTGTAGTCACAAGGGTAACACGGCATGTCACCATCAGTGTCAATGACGACCTTGCAGAAAGTGTTCTGTATTATGACAGTGAAACAAACCACCGCCAAAATGCTCGATACTTTGCTGTTCATCTTTGGCTTGTGATCTTGTGATGTGATCTTGAGTATCTGAAAAGAAAGCAAAAAATATTAACAACTTTCTCAAGTATTGAGCTCGTCAGATATAAGTACGTGTTGCTTTAGACACCCGTCTGGTTACCAGAACTTAAAGCACACGATAAATGTGTTGAGCTTGTTTCTTCGGTAATGTTTTCTGCTCTTCAAAATGTCATAATTTGCACTACCATTTCAGAATAATTTAGGAAATTAATTTTATAACAATTTGTTGCGATGCGGGTGAAAGTCGGTTCAATAACTAGAATGTAAGATAGGTCTTCCACACGTGAAGGTTTGAGACATTATCTATACTTAAATATACATCTGTATATACGCTACATGACCATTCTTTCAAAAAAGTACATCGGAAATCATTAAAGCCGCCACGGCCGTCATTTATTTATATAGAGAGAATCTTGAATGAGTGTCCATGTCATATTGAATTTATTAAACAAGTTCAATGATTGTATATGACACGAGCCTCATATAAAATCATTGAACGAGTTTAATAAATTTGATAAATGAAACATGACAATGACACGAGTATAAGATTATATTTATTACATGACATTCATAATTTGAAAAAAAACTTTCAACACAATTATGTGTTATCCGCTGTCTCTATAGTGATCAAAACCAAAGTAAAGTACTCCGATCACAGTCTTGTAGTTCCGCGCAGTGCAAAGAAGTGCAACATTTTTATAATAATGATAAGTGTTACGTGCAATGAAAAAAGTGGCAATGCTCGCGCCAATGTGTGGATGCCACTAACACTATCTGCAAGTCGCGTCCTCTTCTTATAATGCTAACATTATCAAA